TTTGGGAGACAATTTTCGACGACTTCCCGTTGTTACCGTATTCAGGGAGTTGCACACTCACACAAAAAATATTTACCGTGTACACACTAAATGTTTTTTTTCCCAACAAACCTTATTAGTAAAAATGAAATAATTATTTAAAGTACGAAACACAAAGTATGTAATTAGAGGTTTTTTTTATTATTATTTTATTAATTCTTAAATATATTTACATAAGTTTTCTTACATCTCTAGTGAAAGGTACATATTCTACAATACGATATTGAATTAATAAACAATAAGCAGTTACTCCTGTAAGCGAATCTGATATTAATATCAAAAATTAATAAATCTTATTATTAAAACGAAATAATAATTACTATATTCACATTTTACATTTATGTTGGTTGCACTGCAATTTATCTAATTAATCAATGTCTGTATTTTTTTTTTAAATGTATACAGTTTTTAGTTATAAGCTGATCATTTTTTCATATTCAGTTACTAATGATCCACCGTTCACTCAAGTCGTATCTCATTTTTCTTTATTTTCTCAAAGTTTTATTACATTGTATAAGTTATTTAATTTCTTTAAAAAAGAATTTTCAAAAATGCCCGAATGATGTTGAATCATTAGTTTATCGTATACGAAGTAATCCGACCATGGTTCATCCAAAATTTTCATCGTTTGCATCAAGATTTAAAACATTCAAATTATTCCCGTCAAATACTTCTCAAAATAAATATACATTGTCCGAATGTGGCTTAAAATATTCAGGAGTGGATGATGTCGTGGAATGCTTTTGTTGTGGTCTTATTCTTCATAACTGGGAAAGGCTGGACGACCAATGGATTGAACATTGCAGATTCAGTCCAAGATGTTTATAAGTATTATTAATGAAGGGTAATCAGTATGTTCAAAATGTATTAAGTAAATTTTGTAAAACCGAAAATATTCACAGTTGCGAATCTGAATCATACGATACTGTTTGTTAATCAAGTTTTTATTATATTATGTTATAGTAAATAAAAATAAAATGTTGATTTTTTTTTACCGTTGACTAATCATGTTTTTATTATATGTTATACTAAATAAAAATAAATGCTGATTTTTTTGTTTAAGAGGACGTGTCACCCAAAAAAATCACTCGAAAAATTCCTTTAAAAACATGTTTGCGCGTTCCAATAACATGGGTTACTGAGTGGTTTTATCATAAAAACTAACCTATGAACAAAATTGTAGAGGAGAAATTTATCTGTTTCCGTAAGAAGCCCGATTTTTGAAATTTTCATTTCTAAGTCCTAAAATTAACTTCCGGAAAATAAAAAGTGTATTATTAATCATGATATATTTCATGATGTTTTAAAGATATCAAAAATCGGGCTTCTTACGGAACCAGATAAAATTCTCCTCTACAATTTTGTTCATAGGTGTTTTTACGATTAAACCACTCAGTAACCCATATTATTGGAACGCGCAAAGTATGTTTTATAAGAAAACTGCAGAAAATTACGCTCGGCAAGTGCTGCGCCCGTAGTCAGTGGCAGCGTTCGATACTAGCTGTGCATACCACCACCCCGCGCGCATTAACGGCGGTACCGCACCATGGTCAAAACAGGTTCTCTATCGCAGCCGACCGCCCGTGCATAGTTTATAAATAACCAGATAAGAAAATGATTATTATATTTGTGACAAATATTATTTAATTTGGTTCGATTTTATATTTTGTATTCGTATCCGAATTTTATACAAATAAAAACTATACTTTTGTTCTTCAAGTAGGTAATAGTGTAATACGGCTTATTGAAGCGGATTACAATAAAAATACCTATTATAAAAATTGTAGAGGAGAATTTTTTTAACAATCGTAAGGAATCCGATTTTTGATATCGTATTCCAATCGTCCAATATCGCATGATAAATTAACAATTAAAAATTTTTTGAAGCATACGGCAGATAAACGAATAACATTAAGACGCAGGGAGCACTTTTTAAATTATCTGGAGTGTATAAATAAAAAAAAAGGTGGGCAAGTGGGTGTCGCTCTGTTGTACAGTAGGTTATAAGTATAAGGGATGGTATTACATTTGAATTCAATGATATTATATCATTGTATAAGAAAAACGATTCTGAGCGGAGACGGTATGTCAGTCTAGGTATAAGACATATTATATACATATTATCTATGGTATTAACAAATATAGGTACTTATGAATAAATTCCTTAAAATATGCACAGTCTTATCATGAGCATAATTCTTATTCCTTATACTATGGTAGATTGTATGGATAGGCCATAATATTTTGATTCTTCAGTTTCATATATCCCCGAAGAATATTTTTAAATTACAACAAAAACAAAGACCGTTAATATTGATTTTAATATGTAATTTCGTCCAAATTTGAATTTAAAATGTCTGTAAAAAATAACTGTGTTCATATATTTTTTAGATTTTTTGGTTACAGTATGAACTATTTATGAGAAACTTTGTTTTAAATTTGCAATCTTTAGCCATAAAAACTGAACGTTTTATAATTTATTAATTACGATGATTGATAATTTAAGAGATTTTGATAAATTTTGTCAAAATTAGATCTTTAAATGCTTATAAAAAAAAATTGTGCTTATGTACTTTTTATATTTTTCAATTTCTATTGTAACAATATATCAGAAGCCTTGTATTAAATTTTTACACTTTTTGGCCCAACAGATAAAACTTTATTAATATTTATAGAAAAAAAAAACTACAAAAATTGAAAACTGAAAATGTCCGTAAATAGCTCAAAAAGAGTCAAAATATTTTCAAAATTGTATGGTGTATAGGAAATGCTAATATAAATATTCAGGGAAATTTTCATGTATCTACAGTTATTCGTTTTTGAATTACAACAAAATAAGGAAATCGCTACATGAGAAATCGAGTGAATATCCAATGTTGTAAAAATTTGAATTTAAAACGCTCATAAAAATTTAATTTGACTTTCCAGTAGAGATTTTTTTATTGATAAAGGTAGACAAACTTATGAGTAAACTTGTATTACATTTTCAAATCTTAGATTTAAAAAGAAAAATTTTTACGAATTCTTAACTCAAAATAATTTGCTAATTTTCGTGATTTTTCCATATTTTGTCAATTTTTTAACTTTAAATGCTTATAATAAAAAAAATTGTGACTAAGGATTTTTAATTTTTGAAAATGTTATCGTATATAGAAAATTCAAATATAAACAACCAGTGAAAATTTCATGTATCTAATTTCATTTTTTTTAAAGTTACACCAAAAACTAAATTCAATTTCGTGAAAAATCGATTTTGCGTAAAAATTCCCGTTTTTCCTTAATTTTTATGTTGTTTTTCCCGGTGCTTTTGAAAATTACTGAGCATTTTAAATTTTGACCTCCCAATGCACCAATGATATTCACTTTCCAATCGAACAAGATACTGAAGTTGAAAATCGAAGCATTATTTCTAGTTTCTACTACTTATCGTGTACACAGACACAAAAAAAAAAAGAAAAAAAGAAAACTATAAATTATATTATACTTGTTGAACTAATATTAATTTTTTTCATGGTTAAATAATAGGAAATTGTTGCTCGTTACCCTTTTATTATATTAATATAGGTAATATGATTATAATTTCTTTTTTAAATATAAATGTGGTGATAAATAATATAGGTCACATACTAAATCTATTGATTGATTTTATGCATTTGATAAACTGTAATTCATTGGATTGTGTAATACTTATAATATAGTAGTTTGTATAGTAGGTAATTTTAAACTAACTGTTACTTATAGAAATAATTTTTTAATAAATTTATGTTACAATTTGTTATCATTATATATTACAACTATACATTTTAAATTAGTTATTTTTCTCTGTCAATGTACCCGATCTCTAAAAATTACAGAATGATAAATAAAGATTTTAGAGTATTATTATTATCATTACGAGTAGATTACCTATACTTATTATATTACTATATTAGGTATACGTTAGGTATACCTACTACAAACATATTGTTAATTTAAATAAATATTTGTAATTACCTATTTTCATGTTTTAATATAACATTAACAGTTGAACTTAAAAAATAATACACGGTAAATTAATATTAATTTAATTGCGCTGTATTTATTTTATTTACCATTTATTAGATTTTACTTTAAGTATTATATTTAAATAAGTAATAATTCAATAACTTCAAATCAAGCTATGTTATAATACAGTTTCTACGATCTATATGCTGGGACATAAATTTAAGTAAACAGTATTTTAATTTATAATCTGTAGTTCGTAGGTACGCGAGGGTATTGAAAATATTACGGCGGCATTTGCGTATAATGAATTATATAATGATACGAATGGTACTGGACGAACGTTCATAGACAAATAAACGGCGCTCCCGAAGTCCGGAACGAGCACTCGTCGCCGCCGTCGGCCGGTTGCGAATAGTAGGCGTGACTTAAACGCCGCGCGCTTGCGGATCGTGAAAACACCTAACAGCGCATCCTCTCGGTCGTTTCATGCGTACAGCTTTGGGTGACACGTCCTCTTAAAACAAATTATATGTGTCAATATTTGATCTAATATATCACGATCGTATAGACCAGTGGTTTTCAAACTGGGTGCTGCGGCACACTGGTGTGCCGCGAGTATCCACTAGGTGTGCCGCGGTTTTTCCATAAATTACCGATTGCATTTAATTGCGATATAAGAAAATAAATGCTTTTAATCTCTATGGATTTGATATATATTTATATATTAATAAATCGACAGTTTGTAGGTATAAAGTGATTTTAAGATAAGTAATCTCAGATAACTATTGAACTATAAAATGTATAGGTTATCCGTTATATTGTTAGACCTCTGGCAGTATATCCGTCGCAACCGGCCTGGACGTTAACGTCGTATTCGTAGAGTAGTTTGTCTCCTAATTGTATTGTAATAGCTTACGAGTATTAAAAAAAAATACATTTGTGATATACATTTACATATATTTATAATTATTATAATCATGGATAAATTTGTTACTCGTTCTGTTGACAATAATGCGTCGGTAAGTCAACCACCAAAAAAAAAAAAAATAAAATACAGTAATATTCGTCAGTATCACGAAGATTACTTAAAAATGGGAGTTTCTTGTACTGGTGATACAGATAATCCTCGTCCATGGTGCGTTGTATGTGGTGAAAAATTGTCAAATAAAGCAATGGTGCCCAGTAAACTTAAACGTCATTTGTTAACTAAACATTCACATTTGATCGACAAAAATATAACATATTTTCAACGTTTATTAAATTCACAAAATAAACAAAGTAAAAATATGACAACAATTGTAAAAATTTCTGATAAATCTCAAGAAGCGAGCTATGTAGTAGCAGAGCGTGTGGCTAAAACAATGAAACCACATACAATAGGTGAACAGTTAATTTTACCCGCTTGCCGTGAAATTGTAAAAATATTTTTTAGAATAGAAGCTGAACAAGAAATATTGAAAATTCCTTTATCTGATAATACAATAAGTAGGCGCATAAACGACATGTCCGAAGATATTGAGCAGCAAGTATTACATAAGTTAGGCGATTCTCGTATATTTGCGCTGCAAGTAGACGAATCTACAGATATAAGTGGAAAATCACAGCTTTTAGTTTTTGTGCGCATAGTAGTTGATGACGATATTATTGAAAACTTTTTTTGTTGTAAAACATTGCACGAAACAACGAGAGGTGAAGATGTTTTTAAAGTTTTGGACGATCATTTATTATCAGTAAATTTATCATGGGACAATTGTATTGGAATATGCACTGATGGTGCACCTTCAATGACTGGCTCAATTAAAGGTTTCATTTTTTTAGTAAAAAAAAAAAAATTCAACAATTATTTTTACCTATTGCTTCCTTCATAGAGAGGCCCTAGTGGCAAAATCCTTAGTAAGTGATTTACAAAATATTCTTGATAAAGTTGTAAAAGTCATAAATTTTATTAAGAGCCGACCTCTTAAATCAAGACTATTCGAAAAAATTTGTGAAGAGATGGATGCAGACTATTCAAGATTGATTTTATACAGTGCAGTAAGATGGCTTTCAAGGGGCAATATTTTATCACGATTTTACAATTTGAGAGAGGAGTTACTTGTATTTTTAACTATGGAAGAAACTGAATTCAACTTTCTTGGGGATGAAGAGTGGTGGACAAAGTTATCTTTCTTAACTGATTTGTTTGAGCATCTCAACAAACTAAATTCAAGTATGCAAGATCGTGATGAAAATATACTTACATCGTCGGACAAAATTATGGCTTTCATCGAAAAATTGAATTTATGGAAAACTAAAATTAATCAAGGTAATTTAATCATGTTTCCACGTACTGCTTTATTAGTGGCGGATAACAACATTTTGTTATTAATAGTCAAGTCTATCACATTGTTAGAAGTCAAAATGAATAAATATTTTCCAAGTATTAATATTAAAAATTATGACTGGGTACGAGACCCTTTTAATGTGTCTATTAGTGACTTGGTTGATTTAAAACTTGTTGAAAAAGAAAATCTCTGTTCAATTAAAAATGATCGAACATTGCAGTTGAAATTCAAAGAGATCACTCTCAATAAATTCTGGATATATGTTTCTAAAGAATATCCAGAGATATCTATAAAAGCACTGACTATTCTTTTGCCGTTCTCAACCTCATATCTTTGTGAACAAGGGTTTTCAGCGCTTACGAATATAAAAAATAAAAAACGAGAAAAACTAAATTCAGTGGAAGAAGAAATGAGGGTATGTCTGTCAACTATTCGTCCAAGAATTAAAAATATTTGTAACGCCCATCAGGCACACATTTCTCATTAAATGTACATATGTATAGACTACACTTTTTTTTGTAAATAAATTTAATAACTAATTATACTGTAATTGTAATATTAATAAATAAATAAATAATTAATAAATATTTGTTATCCCATCAATCACACATTTCTAATTAAATGTATATAAAATTATAATTAATTCAAAACAATTTTGTTCATCTAAAACAAGGTCAGTGTGCCGTGAAAATTTTTTGAAGTGTACGGTGTGCCGTGTATAAAAAAAGTTTGAAAGCCACTGGTATAGACTAATGAGGTTAGTGAGTGTAGATATAATTTAAATGTATGCTAATCATGTAATAGTAAATAAAAATGAATGTTGATTTTTTTAAAACAACTTATATGTGTTATTATTTGATGTAATATCTTGTGAGCGTGTGGCCTAATGGATTACTGGGTGTAGTGTTAATTTAAATGTTTTCAGGTAACAGGTAAGTATAATATGTGATTCTCCCCTCCACTGCATGCAGTAGTCGACTATCAGGTTTAGTACATAATACGCTCACAAAGTAAAAATGCTTTCAGTTCAAAGGATATCTCTCATCGGTTATATTATATCAAATTAAAAAAAATAATTACGTCTATAGTTTAAAAGGTTTTTAATTATTTAAAAAAAAGAACTTTAATTCGTTATGGGTCTACCGGTAATTGTGTCAAAATCGGTATTTGACATACGCCCATTTGGTAAGAAGAGTGTTACAGTCGGCCTATTAATCGGCAAACAAATTTCGATTATCTATATATATAAATAAGTGTACATTTTGAATAAATCTTATAGCTCAAGATCCACCGAACCGATTTCGATAAAAATTTCAGGGCATATTAAGATTGATATGTAGATGATTTCTGTGAAGTTTGTACGCTGTGCGATAAATTGTTCCGGAGTTATGGCCTCATAAGTGCACACCTGGCGACATGACCAAAAACAACAACAAAATGTATGAAAAATGAAAAAACGTCTGTTGACATGACAACCACGATTCCATTTTCTAGATAAAAATTAATTGGTTTGAGATTAAACGAGATTGATTTTTATTCAATTTCAATTGTATGGATTTAGGCGTTAAAAAATGCCACGACCAAAACGACAAAATATTGGGTCAACTCTGAAACTAGGTACTTATCAGATCTTCTTGATTTTTTTTAAACGAAAGAGTATATCACAGAGAAGGTTATTATGAAACAAAATTTTAGGAAAATCCACCGGAAAAGTAGGAAATCTGGATGTCAAAAATACAACAGAGATGCAACAGGTTAGGTTAGGATTTTGTATTAATTGATTATATTCATCCACCATAGGTAGAATACGACAAACTTGATATAACTTTGATACTTTAGAGTTAAATCATACACTTACTTACAAACCAGGGGTCCGCGATCTACTGAAGGTAGATTGCCTACCTGATAATATACTGCTACGAATCGGACTTTTTATTCCGGGCAACGGAAAAGTTAAGGTAAATTTTAAACACCATACAACGAATATTAAATAACGAATTGAACAAAGTTTGAGTCATATAGAGTTGGTACATATTTTAAGGGGCAACGAAGTGCACGGGTTCAGCTTGTTGTGTTATAAGAGTGTAAGTTAAAGAAAAAAATTGTTACATTAAATTTAGAGCAATGGTGTACGCTTATGTCTGAATCTAATTACAGTTCAATTATTAACAACTTACATACCAGGTGTAGACGTGTAAGAATCACCGAGAATTTCACATATTCAATTAATGTGAAGCAGAGTTAAATAACCTTACATATAAATGATGATTATATTACACTCTCACATATAGATTTCTGTAGACTTAAACAACTTCAGCATTGTATGGACCTTTATATCGCAGAAAAACAGAAACGTCTACCGAGTTCTCAAGCAACATTTGATGCAGCTTATGAACTGATAAAAAACGATGTCCGAGGTTTTCCCATCAGTTGCCAGAGGAACGAATTCACAAACCAGTATATACAAAACGACGACACTTCATTTTTGTATGAAATATTACAATTTCATTTTAACGCAATGTCTGACATGATTTTACAGGACTTAATAGTGTGATATAATACAAATTCATTTATATTTATGTAATGTTTTATTTATTAAATAAAAAATATTTTTTTATAATATTTCACTCAGAATGCTAAATTACTTTTTATCGTACGACGTTCAGGGTCCTTCAAAATCACATCGAAGATAACCTGCATGGTCTCATTCAAACTTGTATTTAAAGTCTGGTCTTTTGTTTTATCTGAAGTCGTTATCTTGACAGATGTCTCAGAGTGACGCTACCTGCAACATAAATTAATTATTCAATCAGCTGAACAGTGAATAGTAACAGTTGATTTTTATTTTCATTATAAGCAATAGTTTTTTTATTAAAAAGTAAACCAAAGTCTAGTATTTGCCTCTCCTTCGATGGAACATTGTTTATATCACCTTAGAATATTAGATAAAATATTAAGAATTAAGATGATAAATTATTATTTATCTTACTGTTTTTGACTGCTTATTCTTTTTATTATTTTTCTTATCATTCACTTTTTCAGTTCCTCTTTTGGGTGCTGTTTTAGTTTGATTCGAAGTAGAAGGCTTCATTTTCATGTCTACGGATCCTTCAAATTCGTCCTATAAAAAATAAACTTATAGTATTAAATTTGATATATCGACAGATTATTTATTTTTTCATAAATGTATGAGTGGTTTACCATAGCATTATAACCATAGCGTTGAGTAGTTTTACAACTGGTCTCTAATTTGCTTTAGTTATTAAAGTAATTCATTTACTAACCTCTGATCCAGAATGGGTAATCAAAGTTCTGTAAGACATCATCGAATTTATGAAGACGATGAAGAAGTTCCAGTTGCTGGATGTTGACTGTAAAGTTTCAGTTGTTGGATGTTGACTGTAATATTGCTGACGATACGCTAGCGGCTAGCTTAATTTAACCTCTCTATTTTAATTGATTATACCGGACGACGAAGGTCAACACCGATAAATACGTTATATATTTTAATATTACCACAAAATAACTTAGTTGTTTCTAAATTAATATTACATTAACACGTTTTTTTCGATTTCTTTGAAGATAATGTAAGTTTTAAACGTCAACTAGGAAAGTAGGAGGTGACTCTCGACTATATAACACAACATTTGTCAGTCAAACGATATCAGTTAAACTTGTGTTCTCCACCAGCAGAAAAAGCAACACACATCCACCATCAAACATTGAAAATACTTCAATCGTACATAGTTTGCCAGTCCAGCGCAGACATTATCAACAGGCATTCATCATCAAACACTGAAAATAATTTACCCATAGAGCTATCTACGTAAGTACCGTCCTATTTCATTATTTATATTTTATTTGGAAAATCATCTTATCGAATCTAAAACTCTAGCGTTTAGGTAAGTGATTATAACGGATTGGAATCTGAACTATTGGGAATGTATAAATAATTTTAATATACGGATAGAAAATCTTAATTATCTGTCAAAATCAAAATTAGATTATATTTTTATAATATTATGTAGTATTGACAGTATTGTATATATTATGTTTATGTTTAAAAAATAACTTGACGATAGACATATTATGTACCTAAATAAATAAAACATTCTAAAAATTGTTTTATTTATTAATTGATGTAAACTTAGCAAAATCATCACAAACTAATGTTACAAATGAAGCATAACCATAATTTATTTTAATAAAACCAAAGAAAAAAAAACATAACGCCGGGAGCCATTTTGTTGTTAGGGGAAGGTAATGGTTATAGGGGAGAGATATGTATGTTATAATAAATATTGGAGATTTCCACGTAAGATCACCCTACTACTGTGTTGTACCTATCTGCCTAATGATAGGTATTTGAATTACCTATTCTTATTGTATAAACATTCAAACACTTACCTCGCTGCAGCTGGTTTTCCCAAGTGGTTTGTAATTCTTCGGGGTCGTGTTCGACAGTCGATAACACGATGACAATATATGTATTTTGGTTTATATAATCTGTAGAATTTCGTATACAATTTCTAGCTGTGACTGTC